CTGTCCACACACTGCATTTGCAGAGTGCCAGTGGAAACGAAGTCCTAACAAGACTCATTATCATTCAGTTAAGAGGGCAAATGGCCCCTCCAGCATATGTGCTGGAAGCTCACTCAGTATACTACTCATTATACTCCTGGCTGTGTCTGTAGAAGAGCTGTAGAGGCTTCCAGCATAACTTCACCTACTTCCAAGGTACACAGAGCTCCAGCAGCGCTTGCAGCGTATAGAACAACTCTAATGTTTAACCGATGTGTTTCGGCTTGTAACCTTCGTCAAGGTCGTGAATAAAGTTTAAATAAAAACCGTTTGCTGTGCTCTAATCACCAGCAGAGTTCATCAGTTCAGTTTTTACTGTATTGTGATGCATGTTGATACAGGAAAACTGTGATAATGTTATCAGATACACTGGGAAGCTTGGACTGTAGTTTCAGCATTTGGATTCACCTCCCTTCAAAACTGTGATAAAGTTGCAGCTCTAGTCTGAATGTCTGATCTGTGTGCCACAAACACCCTCTGTAAGCGTCTGCATAGCTAGCTTGTCTGTTTTTTTAATCCCTCAGCAATCTTGCAGCGCTGCTTCTTTTGTGAGCTGAGGTATTTTTGCACAGAAGCAGCAGCGAGATCAGTAACATGTTCTGTACTTTACTTGTGACATCCATGCGTGCACACACACGAATAAAGTGCAGTGAATAGGCCACCTATACTCTGCCAAAGCAGGGAGTGATCCAGGGATTGAAATGTGAGCTGGTTTATGTGCTCCATTTTTCTCTCTCACACAGCTTCTCTGCGATGGCCGCGGGGGGGGGACCATGATGGAGTTATTAAGTGTAGCTGGGACTATAATAGTGTCTGGAAGAAGAGGGGGTGGTGGGGTTGTATACTTGAAGGTGGAGAGGTAGGAGAAGGGGAATTACCACAAAAGAAAATAGAATTAGAGCCTGGGCGATTTCAGGACATAGGGATTAGGAGCGAAGGAGGTGGGGGATATTACGTGAGTTTGTGAGAAACAGTCCAGCCTTCATTGCTCACTGAAGTCCTCACGGCTACGGAGGTCAGCGTGAGGTAGAGGAGGAGGAGGAGGAGGAAGAATACGAAGAAGAGGAGTGGAGGGAGCGAGAGCGAGCACAGGATGGGGGTGCTAATGTGAACCAGCTGTGGAAACCTGACACCTCGAGAGTGGGTTAGAATGAGATCTGGAGGAGTGAGAAAGACAGGGAAAGAAGGGCTGCAGGAAACTCGGAGGAGTAGGGGGAAAGCTGGAGAAAACAGGAGGGACGGAGGCCTCGTGGAACAAAACAAAGAATCCATTAATGAGCTGCTGCTGTGTTGTTCATGAAAGCAGAGCTCGCCGTGTTAGTAAAGGTGTCCTAATCCCTAACTATGTTCTGTTGTGCATATGGAAATTTGTCAAAGGCTCACACTGCGGTCTGTGTTTTTAGGGACAGACCCGTTTGTCAGTGCGTTATTATCTTTTTCTCAGCGAGGCACCACTCCCTGTCAATAATGGGAATCATGCACAGCCTTGTCTGTTTGCCTCAGGCTCAAGTGAAACAGCCAAGGGCTAATAATGAGCACTCTGTGGCAGTGAAACCTGAAGGACAGGGTAACATTTCCTGACGCTATAGCATTTGGTTCTATCAACACTGGTTAGATAGCACCAGTTGAATTTAATAGAACTCACCATGCGTCATCCCTGTTTAGGAATTTTCACAAAAAAGGCAAATCACTTGTGTGGGGGTTAAAAAATTTTCAAACAAATATTGCTTGTGTACTGAACTAAGAGCCATTTGAAACCTCCATGATGCTGAAATGTGTGGTGCATTATGTCATATTTAAGCCTGTACGCAATCTACACACAACCCTGTTTGAGTTTGGAGTGGAAGTTGTAGACCAGCCTTTGGCCAGAGCTTTAAACCTGGCAGGGCTGGGAATTACATAGCACTCTATAACTTTGGTATCTCAATATAGAAGCTGTGTGATTCTGGATAAATGAAAGAAAAGCAGAAAAACAGGAAATATTGTTTAATCGCTGGTTGTGTGTGTGGTTCTCTTTGGTAACCTGTGTGGTTCAATCAGTTGGCTTTTTCAACCATCTAAAACCATTTTGATTAGCTCCATGATGACAAGTCATGAAGTAGTCATGATTGGCATGTTAATCTGCATACTTAGTGAAAATATTCATATTTGACACATATGTAGTGATGACATGTCACCAAAGACGGTGGTACAATTTTTATTGGCAAATTCACATCATTTTAAAATAAGCTGTTTCCACCATCAGTGTATAAAACAAACCCGTGGTTAACAAAGTTGTTTAAATAAAGCTCAAACTGGGCTACGATTACATTAAAGGAGAAGTGTTGGATTTCCCTGGACCTCGTATCACCCCCAAGTTTTAACAGTAAAGATGTGTAAAAAGTTCAGAGTGAAACATAAACCTGGCATTAATCTGGACACGCTTTTCTTTGTGTGACAGCCCGCTAACGTGATGTATGTCCGAGGGCAGACGGCCGTGTCATTACTTTGGGAGAGGTGGGCGGAGAGGTTGTCTGGGAGAAGAAAGAGCAGTCCTAATTCCCAGGACGGCCGCCTTGTTGTGATATCGCGAGCAGGCCGCGGGGAGGGACGTCTCTTTGTTTGTGTGTTTTTGTGTGTGTTGTTTGAAGGCATGTGTTTTGGAGCGTGTAGGGGTCGCGGTACAAACACACTGATACTGCAGCAGAGACGGACAGGGTGGCCATGCCTAATTTGTCTACTACTACGCTAATCTATTATCTCATCTGCCCAATTAATAAAACATAAAAAAACAGAGTGTGTGCAAACAAAAGACAAAAGGGGAATTTGTTCATCTCTCTCTTTCGGTAATAACCATATGATACTCACAGCTTTATTCTGACGCTGTTGTTCAGCAAATCCACTGAAAGTTTGTCTCAAATCGAGTGAATGTTTTATGTTTTGGGCTCATGAGTGCACAGGTATTTTTGTAATGAAGGTACAGGGTGATTATTAGCACTATGTGGCTCATTGATGTGTTTTTAATAATTCTGGTGGACAGTTCAGGTGTTTATATAATGTGTAGTTTGGGATTAGTTCAGTTAAAAAAAATATATGAGCGTTTTGCTTGATATGTTCAATTTAGTGTATATTTTTAAAATCTGTGTACACAGCGAACTTATTGTGCACTGCATTTGTGAACCGTTTAGTGTTTGAGTGGGAACGTTTTCTCAGATGTTGTTTGTCATCTTTGGATGATTCACATGTTATACCAGCCAGAAGTTTCACAGATGCGATTGATCTGTGAGACTTTATGTGGCATGATTCATGACTCTCCTGTTTTCCCATTCCCATGCTCTCACAACCTAATATCTTCAAGCTGCCTTGGGGTGGAGCAGCCAGCAATAAATAAGTCAGACTGTGATACTAAAGTGCAAGTAATTCCCCTCTACACTGTCATCCGATCTTTATGTTGGTCACAACACAAATCTGTAGTTCTTCCATTTATATATCATCCTTTAAGTTGAAATTGTCGAGGATGTTTAAGTATTTCTCTTTTTAAAAGAAAAAAACTAGTAACACGTTTCTGCATGTGTGGTGTTGGATACTCGGTGGTGTATCTCTGCTGTCCTTTTTGTGTTACCTGAGCCCCTCTGGGGAGGCAGGATTAGAGGCCTCAGTAAGAGGCAGCGGGTTGCTCTGTTCCCCTCAGTCCCCAGGTGGTGTGTCTGTCACACGCAAGAAGATGACATGAAAAATAGCATACACAGGAAACTGTCTGACTTTTTTTTTCTTCTCAGCAACAGAATAACACTTATGATCAAGTACCGTCACACATGGAGAAGTGCTAAGTGAAAGTGGGTGGGACTGAAAAAAACAGAGGAATAGAAAGTGACGAAGGGAACATTGTCTTTGATAACATGCCTAGCTGACTTATTGCGTAACACTGTAATTTTTTCTCCTCGCTGCTCGGCATGCAGCTGAATCACTTTACTGAAAAAAGGAGAAAACATGAAATCGAAAGAAAGGGGTGGTGAAGAAGAGAGGAAAAAACACACACACACATTTTGCAGACCAAATGTGGTGGTAATTTAAATAAGTCAAGCATTCTTGCCCATACTGTTGCCTGTTTGTCTGTTATGTATCGTTTAGCCCTTTGTCCAGGTAATTGCTAGCACTTTCCACTTGTTGTTTTCAGTTTCTGCCATGCTGCAGTCAACAACTTCCAGATAACTCCACCTCACATCCTTCTGCTTCTGAACTTCTCCTTTGTCATGAATGACCCCACTTTAACCCTTTGACCAAACCCAGCTTCTGCCTTTTTTCTGAGTGGAGTTTATGGGGAAAAAGCTCTGGGGCTAGAGCACTTCCTTAAGTTATCTTAGAGTTAGTCTGTCAAGACACAAAAAAAAAACCCATTCAAAATGGCTTTACATGTCTCCTGGGTTAAAGGCATTAAACATGCACGGTGCATACTAAGTTTTAAAAGTCTGAAGCATCTAAAAAGCTATTTTCTCTTTATGTACAGCCACACATTTTGTTAATACTCCTACTAAGGGATGTGGTTTCCCGCATGCTGCTATGTAGATCATTATACAGAAATGGAAAGACAGTGTATTAGACAGTAGTGTTTACTTGTGCTGGTTTATTTGTTTCTTTGATGTGTGTGTGTGTGTGTGTGTGTGTGTGTGTGTGTGTGTGTGTGTGTGTGTGTGTGTGTGTGTGTGCGCGCGCGCATGCATGCTACATGACTCCTATACAGCTGTTACCCTCAGCGCTCTATCAGTACTCTCAGTAGTAGTCGTCTGATGTGGTGGATTACATCCACCTGAGTGAAACTCGCCCTTTTGTTTTGTTTGTTTGCGCTGTCAGGTTCACATGCTTATTTGTCTTCTTGTTAAGCTCATCTGTTTGTTGTATTATCTGTATTGAAGGCCGATAAGCTTTTAGTTTTGAGCGTTTAACCTCTTCCATCACTGATTTGTGTTTTGATGTGTGTCCAGGTGTGCTCCCGGCTTTCTGGGGGAGTACTGCCAGCACAGGGATCCCTGTCAACCCGGCTTCTGCCAGAATGGCGGGAATTGCACTGTGACCATGTCACTTGGTGTGCCTGTACCGGGTAGTGCCACCTGTTCCTGCCCTCTTGGTTTTACTGGACCGCACTGCCAAACTACCCAGAACTCCACGTGTTACCCACACAACCCCTGTGAGAACCAAGGTCACTGTACGCTGCTGTCGCTTGACGAGTACAAGTGTGAGTGCCCAGTAGGATGGGCAGGTAAGCTCCCGTTTGATCGTCTCTGCTCTTTCAAGAGCCTGATGCATTTTTAAACAGCCCGTATGACTGTTATAACCAGTTATAACTTTTGGGTCTCTGAAAGATATTAATAATCTCTAATCACGTCACCACCCTCTGAGAGTCATGAGTTTCATAGCTCCGCTGTGCTGAATAGGAAGTGAGATCCAAAGAGCTAAATGTTAGTTGTTCATCCATGCTGCATTCATGAACATCCAACATCATGCTTCGTTTCAAGAAAAACAACAGATTTATTACACATTTCCACTTCAACGCTTCCTTAATTATATTCATTATATCTTTGCTCACACAAATACAGATGTGTTATTATTTTTTCATTATACATTCCACCTGTCACACTTTGCTGTGAAATATATGATTAGATCTAACTCTCAATTCCTTTTTTCTTTTTACTCCAGAAGTACAAACCAAAATACATGTCAACACAAGTTAGTCCCGACACCCCCAAATCATCTATGAGTGATTTATTTTTATATTCAAGAAATCAAACGATATCAATAAAATTCTGAACCTTAGTTACTAAACATAGAACGTGGAAAGTTTGCACGCTGCTTTTCTTCTGATTTTTAGGCTGCGTTTCTTGATCAGTGACCACTAAATCTCCGCTCTTTGTGCACTTTTGCGTCTTTCAGGAGCACGCTGTGAGTACAAGGACAGCTGTCTCTCTAGTCCATGTGCCAACGATGGAAAGTGCAGCGCTCTCTCCAGCGGCAAATACACGTGTTCCTGTCCTCCTGGTTACAAAGGTCCTAGCTGCCTCAATGACACAGATGAATGTGAAGACACGCCTTCCCTGTGCCAGAACGCAGGCCGGTGTGTCAACACCCACGGCTCCTACAAGTAAGAGCCTAGTTTTTGATACCAAATTCAAAAATGCTCACCGTCAACAGGAAACGCTGATCAAAATGATGTCGCTCTAATTTCTGCTTAAATTTGTGAAAATGATGTTAAGATGTTACCTGCTCTGCCTTTGATGCAGGTGTTTATGCACTCCTGGGTATACGGGTCGACATTGTGAAAGCTCGTACTACCCCTGCTCGCCTTCACCGTGCCTGAACGGAGGCACCTGTCAGCTTAACTTGGACATGACCTACTCATGCCACTGCCTTCCCGGTAGGATTTCAGTTTCCGAAATTTAAAAAAAGAAGAAGCATGAAATAAAATCATTAAAAAAAATGTGCTACCACAGCTGTTATTTATGTATAAATGAAAGTAGGTTAGTGTTTCTGAATTGTTACACTATGGTGTTTTGGGTGCAAATAGTCTGATGTTGTTGGCTCTGTCATATCTGACACGCAGCACTGTCAGAGTGCTACAGTTAGCGGATACATACAACAAATACACACACGTGATGTTTATATAGCACCAGACGTTGTTAGAGGACGGCATACTAGAGCATTATGCTTCACTGTCTTCCCAAATCAACACTTCATTAAAACCACTAATAATCAAATGTATTTATTTCATGTACGTCAGGTTTCAATGGCACTAACTGTGAGAACAACATCGACGACTGCCCCAATCACCAGTGTGCCAATGGAGGAACCTGTATGGATGGGGTCAATACCTACAACTGTCAGTGTCCTCCAGAGTGGACTGGTAAGGCACTTTCATGTGCAGTTATTTATGTGTGACTAACATTTTCCACATGTGTAACTCTTATCTGTGGCTGAAGATGACCTGAAGTCTGGAACGTCACCTCTCCATCCATAGCAGATTGTTTGAACTGTTTAAAAACATTTCTTTGACATTTTGGCTATGTTTGATTGTTTTCTACACACTTCTGAGGACTGCTAACTCTCCTAACACCTTTGCGTGGCATCCACAGCACTTGTGTTTACAAAGTGAATATGCAGGCAGCAGCTTTCTAGGGCTTGTCTGAGTTTTGTAGCAACGATGGTGCTTTAATGATTCAAAATTACAACATTTGAGTCCCTCTATGAGGAAAAATTATGTATTTTGGTTCTCTGTCAGAAGCTCAGCATGTTGTAACGTGGCAGGCAAAGGATTAACCTGTTCGTTTTAAATCCCCCCCCTCACAGGTCAGCACTGCACAGAGGACGTGGATGAGTGCCGGCTGCAGCCAAACACCTGTCAGAACGGAGGTACCTGCAGCAACCTGCCTGGCGGCTACGTCTGTGTATGCGTCAATGGTTGGAGTGGACCTGACTGCTCTGAAAACATTGATGACTGTGCAACAGCTGCATGCAGCCAAGGCTCCACATGCATAGACCGTGTTGCATCCTTCATCTGCGTGTGTCCTCACGGAAAGACAGGTGGGCGTTCATACGAAACCCTGCACAACGTTAACTCTAGTGTAAATAATGGTGCCATGAGTTCGTACTGAAACTATAGATGTCCTTGACCCTTTCTTTGGTACTTCAGAGAAATGCTGCTTTCTGTGGAACACGTCTAACCTTAACTGATGTTTTTCTAAGCACATGATGCCTCTGTTGTTGTTAAAGAATATTTCACACGGAAATGAAACTGAGCTGTTACTCTGTAAAACAGTCTAATTATACCATAGAATATGTTTTTGCATTTTCACCCTGCTGATTAGTCAGCACGGTTTTGGCGTTAGAGCAAGGTAAGCCTCCCCCAAGTAGCAAATTTGCATTGACTTTGTTTTTCTCTGAAACGGGTATATAACCATGTGCAGGAGACTCTCCAGGGACATTTTGTCTCACCATAGTTTGCATTAAAGTCTTTTATTTTTTTCACTCATTCGATTTGATGTAATGTTCCCCTCAGGTCTGCTCTGCCATCTTGATGATGCCTGCATCAGTAATCCCTGCAGAGAGGGCTCTCAGTGTGACACCAATCCCATTACTGGTATGTTCAACTGTAACTGTCCACCTGGATATATTGGGCCCACCTGCAACAACGACAGAGATGAGTGCAGCATCGGTGAGTCTTCTCAGCAAATAAGCTTTAATCTCTGTCAGCCTCTGTTCTCTGCTGTTATTTATATACCTCTGCTGTTTACCAGCAGGCACCAACCCCTGTGAGCACGGTGGGCAGTGTGTGAACACTGATGGTTCCTTCACCTGTAACTGTGTTCGAGGCTACGCGGGCCCACGCTGTGAACAAGACATAAACGAGTGCGCGTCAAACCCTTGCGAGAATGACGGCACTTGTCTGGATCGTATCGGAGAGTACACCTGCATTTGCATGCCTGGTAAATTTCTTGTAATTTTTTAAAATAATGTTATATTTTAACACAGCAAAATGTGAAAATTGACACACGTGAAAATTCTGTTTTATAGTCAGAAACGGGTCATTTTGCATTTAACCACAAAACTTAAAGTAAATAACAGCAGTGTCATCCACTTAAAGTTTGCTCTGTGTCCTTGACCCATGACCTTCAGTGTTTTTGTTGTTGCGAAATTGTATAGTTGTTTCTGTGTACTTGTGCAGGATATGAGGGGAATCATTGTCAGCTCGAGGTGGATGAGTGTATGAGCTCGCCCTGCCTGAACAGAGGCAAATGTCTCGATCAGGTCAGCGGCTTTATCTGCGAGTGCCCAGCAGGTTGGTACACCTTCAGCTGTGTTAGTGCATTCCCCTGACTCATTTCTGCCGACTGAACCTGTTTTTAAAAACTAAATCTATAATGAATCTTATCAATATATTAATTTTGTTTGTTATGTTTCTAGGCTTCAGTGGGGACATGTGTCAAATAGACATAGACGAGTGTTCCAGCACGCCCTGTTTAAATGGAGCCAAATGCATCGACCGACCTAACGGATACGATTGTGAATGTGCTGAAGGTAAACGGAAATTGCAACATGTTTTTGACCCAGAAAGTAGTCGCTTAAAGTCAGTTGAGAGAGTAAGAAATTCCCCTCTACCCAGGCTTCACCGGTCTGCTGTGTGAGGAGAACATCAATGACTGCGAGCCAGATCCATGCCACTACGGTGTGTGTCAGGATGGTATTGCCACCTACACCTGTAAGTGCAATCCTGGATACACCGGCTCCATCTGTAATATCCAGCTCAACGAGTGCCACAGCAACCCTTGTCAGAACCAAGGACGATGCATTGACCTCGTTAACACCTACAGTTGTCGCTGTCTACCTGGAACCACAGGTCAGTACTGAGTGTGCTGCAAAGATTCTCCAGAATCTCATTTAATGGTGCAATGTGATAGAAATTGTGTCATGTGATATGTGGAACAAACACTGTGACGTTATTCATTGAGAAAAGCTTGAGAGAAAATGAAGTGTGATGAAAAGTCATTCTGAAACACGATAGTGTGGTCACCAAAGTACAAAGGAATGTAATCATTAGAACGGTTAAAATAGTTGTTAGTCTCTTAATGGCAGTTGTAGTTGCAGCAGTAGCCGTTCACACTGAACAGTTTTAGTTCTCATTCCTCATACAGCATTTTTAGAAGTATAAATGAGCTCTAACTGTGCTTCTGAGCATTTCTAAATAATCAATTTCACAAATGCTGTTTAAGTCCAACGTCGTGTAATTGAGTCTTCCGGTGACTTGTTTAAATTGAATGAAAAGATCCCGGTCCCTCACATCTAGAGCCTCTCGTGTAGTTTGAAGTCTACAGTACTCTTCAGTGTAGCAGTCACAAGTCTCGGTCAGGCGGTTAAACCAACGTTGCTTTCTGGATTAGTAAGATCTTCATTGTGTTTTTACCACCCCAAGGCTTGGTACTGAAGTCTTGCATTCAGG